TATGTTGCATTCTTACAATAAAGTAAGCTGGAGAAAAATTGTTACTAAGAATCATGAGGAAGAGAAAATAATACATTCATGGTACTATACTATATTTATTGAAAAATCTCTTCATACAGGTGGACTTGTGCAGTTCAAACCTGTGTTGTTCAAGGGTCAACTGTACCAGGTTTAAAATCTACATTTACTACTTAACTATCTCTTAACTTTCTCACTGCTTAGTTTCATTAGTTTATTTTACAAATAAGGATGATAATAATAATAGCGATAATAATATACGTCGTAAGATTCTTGGGAAGAATTAAAGAAGTTCATGCATGTAATATACCTAGAATAGTACCTAATGCATAGGAAGCAGTAAATGTTAGTGATGGTATTGATGTCTTTGCCGTTCTTCAGACATGTTTGAAGGAGTCAGATGGCAGTGATATAGAAGATTTTGGCTCTGATCACAGTGAAGACTGCCTGTCAGAAGCAAGCTGGGAACCTGTTGATAAGAAAGAGACTGAGGTATGTCCAGAAAAATATACTTTTGTGAAGCACTGAATTCTCCTATTTCTCAGAGATAAGTGACATGCTATAAACTGAACTCTCTCCTGGGTGAGTGTCTTCTTTTTAGGCAAGTAGTGGCCAACTATAAAGACAGACCTCATCATTTCCTCCTTGAATGCTTTCCTTATTGCAGTGTTGCTCTTCCACTTTGTTGACAAGGACCTGGAATTTTTCCTTGTGCCTTCTGTTAGGTGACTCGCTGGGTTCCAGACCATATGGCATCACATTGCTATAACTGTGACTGTGAATTCTGGTTGGCCAAACGAAGACACCATTGCCGGTAAGATGTTTTATATGGTTCTGTAAGGCTCATCAAGGAGTGGTGTACGTGTATCTGAGCTAAATTGAGTTCATCTGAAAATGGAGATAATCTTTATAGGGACTACTTTTATTTTCTGCCAACTTTTCTCTTTATTTACTTATGTAAGGCCTGTTAGAGTATCATTCGTGTCTTTTTTTTTTTTAATGTTAGAGAGAGAGAGAGAATCCCAAACAGGCTCTGCACTGTCAGCACAGAACCTGACGTGGGCCTTGAACTCACGAACTGTGAGATCATGACCTGAGCTGAAACCAAGAGTCGGACCTTTAACCGACTGAGCCACCCTGGGGCCCCAAGGATCATTCATTTCTGATGAGTTCTTCCCTCTTTGTCCTTTGGCAGAAATTGTGGGAATGTATTTTGTGCTGGGTGTTGCCACCTGAAGCTGCCCATTCCTGATCAACAACTGTATGACCCAGTGCTCGTCTGTAACTCCTGTTATGAACACATCCAAGTATCTCGTGCCAGGGAACTCATGAGCCAACATCTGAAGAAACCCATTGCTACAGCTTCCAGCTGAATGCCAGAGGAGATGACCTGTCCAATTTTAGCAGGTTTGAAGGGAGGATCTGCTTCAGGTGTAGTTTTGAAGGTTCCTTGGTGTGGCTCGTGAAATAACAGAGCTCAAAGATACCGTCTTGAGAAATCCTCCTTGGTACCATGAGACTGGAGCAGAGGAATTCCAGTTTGGCAGGAGGTCTTCTACTGATGAGACCCTCACCTTGGGGTAAAGGTCCTGATCCAGATCCAGAGTCTGAAAGCTAAATGTTGAGTTGGTGACTCCAGCTTTTGTCCTAGGGGTCACAAGACGATGATTTCATAGATACTGCCTGGTGATACGTGCCCCAAACAGCAATAGAAAGGCCTAAGTATAACCAAACTCCAAGCGATAAACAGATCCATCTCTCCTCCACCTTGAAAAAAGCAGATTCTAGTATATAAGATAGGAATTCCTATCCTATTTGAAATGAACTATATCCTGTTCCTCTGTGCTCTGTGTCTGTGCATGAAGGCTCAGTCTTTAGAGGCACTCCCTCTAGTTGCAGTAGTTCTGTCTTTCTGTGGAGTTTGGTTTCCAGACTGGTTCAGCAAGTAGAGATTTTGCTGTATTTTTCACTTGGCTCATCGGCCAACATCAGTGAATATTCAGTTTAGAGGGACAGTTCTAAGGAGTCAGACATTCTTGGGAGCAGAGGAAAGCTCTGCTGCTGTTCAGTCCTGGCAAAACTCGGTTATTTTGAGCTGCGAAGGCAGTCGTCTCTGTTACTCAGTGGCAGCTCTCGAGGTATGCACTGTGAAGAATGAGAAGGGAAAAGCAGAAATGATCCTTGTCAAATACTTGCTGATTGTGCCCTGCCCTTTGCGCCTGACTTTTCCTAGTTGTCCTGGTGCTAACACAGGAGTTACACCTTGATCCTCTCCTGGCATGAAAACGAAACAATGGATTTTTGTTGTTGTTCCATTGCCCACTTCCCTCATGTTGTCTTTCCCTTGGCTGCTGCCTCCTCTGGGTCACACTGCTTCTTATCCTGAACACTTGACACCTTGAGGGTAGAATTTAGCATTTGGTTTTTACCTCCTAGAATATGCTGTTTGGTATGTGAGGGTTTCAGTACAAATGCTGCTGTCTATTTCTGTGCACTTAACAATGGAACCCAAACAGAAGAGAATAAAGCCTTGATACCAAAATTGGGAGAGAAAATGTGTCCATTTGGACCAAACATTGTTTTTTTTGTTGTTGTTGTTTTGTTTCATCTTAATATGTACCAGTGGCACTTAACCAAAAGATACAGTGATATAGCCATGTACTGTGGTTGGGACAGATATAGTCTCCTTGACCCATAATGAAACCACTAGTATTTCCTTTATACATTTTCCTTAATGCATTGATGTATAAAAGGTAAATTACACTTAGGCTTGTCCTGTTTTAAAACTATGGTAGCTGTCTAACTGCTACTTTCACGTCGCTTCCTAGAAAAAAAATTTTCATTTGAAAATAACTAGGATCTGCATTTAGAACAAGAATTGTTATTTGTCCTGACCTTTTCTTCAGTCCTACAGAGAAGCATCTGTGCTTTTATACTTGTCATGGATGTAACCTAAAAAGTTTTGGCGTATTTAGGTCAGCCTAGCAGAACTTTTTTTTTCTCTTGTTTAAATGGAGTTGAATAATGGAGATTTGTGTCTGGGAAATTCCTGAGATCATTGAAAAAGTAACAAACTATTCCTTGTCTCTGATAACGTAAAATTCTCCTAAGCATTTTCTCAATCATTAAAATTTACTGCCAGTTGCGAGAGCGGCTTTTTAATTAACTTGACTTTCATTGCACTTCACTCTGCCTGTTTTCAGGGGGAGTAAGATTGGTGGTAACATTTGAGGAGACTGTATCTGTCTGCTTTGTGTGGCTGTTTTGAGGGACTGTCCCATCAGTGAACATACTGCATGGCCTTGGAGAGAGACTGGGCTCTCGGCTCAGATGTGTTCATCAAATACTCCTTTCAGAGCTCTTGTGGGTGTAAGTGACATGATGTGGCCAAAAATCCAAACTGTGCAGTTGCGTTGTGACAAACATGCAATGTGCTGTAAAAACTCAATACAATTTAAATAAAATCTCTATATTAGTGCTGCTTTGTTGGGTCTTTTTATTCATTTTAATTTCTAAGTAAACTTCGTACTCATTTTTTTCTTTGACCATGAGAAAGGACTAAAACATTATATTCCTTCCTCCCAACCATTTCCATTTTTAAAGTTTTTAAAATTTATTTACTTATTTTGAAAGTGAGGAGGGGTAGGGGCAGAGAGGGAGAGAATTCCAAGCAGGCTCCCTGCTGTCAGTGCAGAGCTGGAAGGTGGGGGTGGGAGGGGGATGGTGAGTTCTGGATTTCATGGAACATGAGATCATGGCTTAAGCAGAAATCAATAGCCAGAGCCTTAACCCACTGAAACACCAGGTGCCCCAATTTCCATTTTTAAATGGACCTTTCTTTTCTTTATATTTTTTCAGTGTTTGTTTATTTTTGAGAGAAAGGGCACGCTGGGGAGGGGCAGAGAGAGAGAGAAGCAGAGGGTCCTGAGAAGCAGGCTCCATGCTGGCAGCACAGAGCCCACTGCTGGACTCGATCTCACAAACTGTTGAGTGAGATAGTGACCTGATCCGGAGTCGGAAGCTTTAACCTAGTGAGCTTCCCAGGCGCCCCAAATGGACATTTCTTTTTATCAGCACAGCTCCTGCTATATTCTTATCTATTGATCGGATAGGGATTTATCATGACTACTGTAGCATTCTATCCCATCTCAAGTGAGGTTTATTTCTCTTTAATGTCTAAAATAGCACCAGCTGGTTGACCAGGCACACAGCATTGTAATGCTATTCTTCTGATTCCCTCCTCATAGGCACCTCAGTTCTGCTCCCTCCTTGAGTTAACCTGTCCAGAGCAAAATATTGACGTAAAAGAGTATATCTAAAAACATAAAATGCTACTCTTTAAAAGGTGAATTTGTTTACTCAGTATATCATACCCCCATCACCATTCTTATTTTGGAAGGACAAGCAATTAAACTGTTAAGTTTATACTTATTTATGGTTACTCAGGTTATATACAGTTAGACACTTTGTTCTCAAGAACGGCAGACTGAGTTGTCAAGTGCACACTTTCCGAATTCTAAATCCCCACACGCTGCTTGTGGTGATCAACACGAATCTTCGTATTCCATCGTGGATAATCGGGTTTCTTTCTTTTCAGGACTCAATACTACCTGGCGGGCAGCAACACCGTGGTTTGGTCTGACGGTATGGGGACGCCGCAGACGGAACGTGCCTCGCTGCCGCCACGCCCCACGCTGGGGCCCCACGCTGGGGCCAGCGGCCGCGGCGACTCGGAGTCCAGGGGGCGGGTTGGCCTGCGGCCACGTCCGGCCACGGTCCGGCCGCGCGGCGGGAACTCGAGGCCCCATTGGCCGCGCTGGAAGGGGGCTCGTGCGTCCAACGGTCCCAGGGTCCGTGGCGGGCCTGGCGCTGGCAGGAGGGGGCAGGGCGCAGCGAAGGCCGGGCGAAGGGAGGGGGGAGATCGAGAACGGGGTGGGAGAGCCAGGCTCGGCGGGGCGAGGCCCAGTGCCCGGGCGGGGGCGATGGAGGAGGCGCTGCTCTCCACCCCCATCAACCCCAACAACTTCCCCGCCAAGCTGTGGCGGTTGGTGAACAGTCCCCGGTACCGCTCCATCCGCTGGGACGGCCGTGGCGAGGGGCTGCTCATCGACCAGCCGCTCTTCGAGGCCGAGCTACTCAGCCCGCCCGGGGCGGGGACCGGGGGCAGCGGGGGCGGCGGCGGGGCCGGTGTGGGGGGCACCGGGGCCGAGCCCGAGCTCTTCAAAACCACCAACTTCACCAGCTTCATCCGCCAGCTCAACCTCTACGGCTTCCGCAAGGTGGTGCTGGGCGGGCCGGGCGCGGCGGGGCCCGGGCCCGGGCCCGGGCCGGGGGGCGGCGGGCCGGCAGGCGACGGGCCGCTCCACCACTTCCACAGCCCGCACTTCCGCCGCGACCAGCCGCAGCTGCTCGTGCACCTCAAGAGGCTCACCAGCGCTAACAAGGCCAAGCTGGCGGCCGGCCTGGAGGTGCCCTGCCGGCCGCCCAACCGCTTCCAGAGGCTCCTCATCACGTCGGCTTCCGCCTCAGCCTCGGCCTCCACCTCCCCGCTGCAGCACCAGGAGCCGCCGCTGCCGCCCGCAGGGCCCCGGCCCGAGCCTCACGGTGAGTCCCTCAACCACTGCCGGGCACATGGGGCGACCAGAGCAACCGCCACTTCCGAGGGCATTTCGCACATGAGGTGATCCACTTTCTGCTGTGCCTCCCGAGAAATAGGTCACGTTGCCCCCACCGTTTCCCACCACCACCTGCACCCCCTTTCTGCCACTATGTCCCCCTGGAAGGACTTGACAGTTTTAGCCCCATCTGGCTAGTTGTCCACTGGTGGCCTAAGAGACGTCTGCTGTAGGCATTTTGTTGTTCCTGGCCCCTCTCGAACTCCAGGCCCCCGTAGCCATCTACCTTCTCGAGACCCTTCCCTTCCCTTCTCGAACACCTAGAATAAGTAGCCCTTTGTTGAAGCACTAGGTCGGGAAGAAACACCGGAGTGTCTCCTTTGCTCTAATGGGAAGCAAAACAGTTACTGGAGATGGTGAGGGTATGATGGCCAAGGTGGGAAGGAACAAAGTCGCAGCCAGGAAAACGGAGAACATTTATACCGACCGAGGGGAAGTGGGGAAGGTGTCTTGAGTGGAAGTTTGCCCTTGAAGAGACAGGCCATCTTCCACCCAGTGACACATTTAATTAAGAAGTCTTAGAAAAGGTGTTCTGACAATAATCATATTTTAGGTTCCAAGTAATGTATAGAAAGGTAGACATTGTTTATCTTAAGAGCAAATATATAATAATATATTCTTTACAAGATACTATTCCTGCATAGAACGAATTGGCTGAACATTGCTTTCATCATAGCTAATTAGAGTGGTGTTTGCTTGAGGTGCTATGGTGAGACAAACATAAGGCAAGAATGGTCTTCTTTACTGTCAAGTTATAGCTAAAAGGAATTTTAGAAAGTTCACATTTGTGTCTTTGAATCTTTCACTGTTGGCTACAGCTTTTCAGTAATGAAAAAACTTTGTATAAATCTGTATTTACTAAAAACTCAAAAATTCTCTCGGATAGAAAATTATTTTATAAACTTGGCTTTTGAGGCTCTTCCCCTCTTCCAGGAAGGTGAGGGTGGCAAATACTCCTTTTCTCTGTTTAAAGAGTCCATGATATGAGGCAGTATTCCAAAACAGCAACTGGATATAATAGTGAGAATTCATTCTTGCCTTCAACAGAAACATTTTCACCTAAATGTTAATTTGGATTTACGGTAAATGTGTAAGGATTATTTTTCAGTTATGGAAAATGAAAAATATACAAATGAAAGTAACACTTTGTTCGATTTAACCCAGGCCCAGGGTTATGAATGAGGCAGCATTTTGTTCATTTGGAATTTAGAAGATAAGAGATTAGCTTGTGTATGGAGTTTAGAAAATAAGGGATTATTAGGTTAGAGTTCTAGCAACAAGTTGGAAAAATAGCAGTGGCAAAGGAATGTTCTAAAGGAATTCTAAAGGAATATTAAGGCACTTCCATGTGATGGCCATTGATTTTGGTGGGGAATTGCATGGGGAAAGGCAATGGAGACAGTACCCTGGCATGCATTTGACAGAGTCTCTGACATGGCTATTTGTTTCTTAGGTTGTATATCTGGTAGGCATAAGGAGAAAAGACTGGAAAGTATATTCTTGGGAGTAATAGGATAACTACTTCAGACAAAGAAACGTACAAATATGCATACATAAAAACCAAGTCTTGCTCACTTTTTTCACTTTTCTTTCTTTTTCCCCCACCTATCTTAAACCCAGTTGTATTCTAAGGATAGCGTCCATTTTAATTAAAGAAATACAGGGGCTGCCTGTGGTCTTATTTTCTTCACTTGTAGTTAAATTGGTCAGCATTTTGAAGATTATTTATTGAATAACATGAATTTAATTCGTATTTTTGCAGTGTAGGTCATTCATCAATCCACATATACCTAGATTATTGTAGTTTTCATGCATCTCCTATTTTTTTTACCATTCTGCCTGTTGATATGTGCAGAAGGTGTGTTGGTTGTGGATTGTCTACACGATAGGCTTGGTTCACTAGGGAACTATGTTTCTGATGTGGGTGGAATGTACTTCTAAGTTCAAGAATACTGGGCCAACTTTGTTCGCTTTGATTCTGTGTTCTAAGCCCTTGGTTCTTCTATTTCTCTCTTTACCTAATTTTTATTCTGCTTGACTATTTCTTTTGTTTGTATGTCTGATGGTACTGCTACTTCTTAGTCTCCACTTTGTTTTCTGTGTTCTACTTCAGTTTATGGTTTGAATACTATGGTCTTTTTTTTTTTTTTTTTTTTTTAACAATAGAATCTTCTGTTCTCGTACCTACTTCTCTTATCTAGATCCATTGAAATAGCTGTCTTGTTCATCTTTCAGGAATGTCCTTGATAAGAAATGTGAAAATCACATGTTTTTCCCTTTTTTTTCTTTTGCTCCATTTTTGTTATTTTGTTTTTAGTGATAGTTTATTTTATAATATTTGTTAAAACTTTCTAAACTAAGTAGCAAGTCTGAGCAATAGTAGATAATCTATTTTGGCCTGGGGATATCAAGCTCTTAAGAGGGAGGCTTTTTCCTGGGAATTGATTAGCTCAGATTCATTTATATACAAGGAATAAGACTTTTAAGAATAGAAATCCATCCTGCTTTACATTTCCAAAATTCTGGATTTAAACTTTGCCAGATATATCCTAAAGATGTTCTGAAAACATATAGGTGATATTCTGTGAAGTTAGTTAGAATGAAGCCCTATGCGGTGACCCTTAACAATAAATAAGAGCTGAACACGTTTTAGTTCTTTTTTAAAAAAACAAGTATAAAGGAATGCCCTTCTAATATTATCAGTCTTCATACGTTAGCAGCATCTGAAAGTATATAAATATTTGGTCATCACTCAGAATTTATCATGATAGAAGTAGATTTTATATTTTGATAAATCAAGGTAAAGAATTCCTTAATTAGGTGTTTAGGCTATTGTCTATCTGAAAATTCATCAATAGCTTAACCCTAAAGAATGTGGAAGAAGGTTTAGCTATTTCGCACTGTAGCAATAGCTACATGTAGATTTGGCATGTGAAGCATCCAAAGAAGAATCGAGTGGTAGGTAGTTTTAGATCTCAGAAACCCTTGTCATGAAGAGCAAAAAAATGTTTCTTTAGGTCTTAAAGGATTGTTGCTGGTAGTTCAAAGTGTGTATACATATGGAATAACTAGTCCAGTACCATAAAAACTGTTTTTTTGTTGTTTAAAGGAAAAAAGGAAAAGCAGTTTTTAAGAGGTATATATCATTTGAATACATTCAGTCTTCTGGATTAGGCTTTTTTTTCCCCCCATTAGATTTAGACTTCTTGATTTCCAGTTTACTTTAAAATTTGTGTGTATATACGTATATATATATATATATATATATATATATATATACATCTGTTTATTTTTGTCAGTAATGCTTTATTCTTTTTAAAATTGTTATTATTTTTTAAGAGTTTATATTAAGAAAATTGATTTGAATCAGGCAATGCCAAACCAGAAGTGGTTAGGAGTGCTCCTAGTGCTCTATTCTTTTTTTTTTTTTAATTTTTTCTTAACATTTATTCATTTTTGACAGACAGAGAGAGACACAGCATGAGCGGGGGAGGAACAGAGAGAGAGGGAGACACAGAATCCGAAGCAGGCTCCAGGCTCTGAGCTGTCAGCACAGAATCTGATGTGGGGCTCGAACTCACTGACCCTGAGATCATGACCTGAGCTGAAGTTGGACGCTTAACTGACTGAACCACCCAGGCACCCCCCTAGTGCTCTATTCTTTAGAGGAAATTAAACACCACAGAAGTAGAATGAAAGATGTATAACATGTTGAATGGGTTTACAATGAAAATATTTGGAAAACTAGGTATTTGAGTGCCATCTTTTACCATATAGTTTAATAGAGGAGTGGCACATAAATTAGATTTTCCCTCTGTTTTATAGATTTGTTTAATAAAACAAATTAAAAGGAATTTGTGAACCACAGATTTTAACACATAACGCTCTCCCTAGGTAAATAAAGCTAACTTTTTTTTTAAATAATTTTTTTAATGTTTATTTATTTTTGGGACAGAGACAGAGCATCAGCAGAGGAGGGGCAGAGAGAGAGGGAGACACAGAATCCAAAGTGGGCTCCAGGCTCTGAGCTGTCAGCACAAAGCCTGAGGCGGGGCTCAAATCCACAAACTGTGAGATCATGACCTGAGCCAAAGTTGGACACTTAACCAACTGAGCCACCCAGGCACCCCTAAAGCTAGGTTTTTTTTTTAAATGTTTATATATTTATTTTGAGAGAGAGAGAGAACCACTGGGGGGAGGAGCAGAGAAAGAGAATCTCATGCGGGTTCTGCAGGTTTCATGCTCAGCTCAGAGCCCAATGTGGGGCTTGATCCCGTGACTGTGAGATCATGACCTGAGCTGAAATCAAGAGTCAGATGCTCAACCAACTGAGCCACCCAGGTGCCCCAGGCTAGTTTTGTTTATTACGTTCAAGAATCACAGTCTGAAAAATAAGTTCAGCCTGTAACATGTGTATTTTCTTTTCTCCTCATTATATAGTAATTCCCTTTGTCTCTCTTCATCATCTCCACTTTTTAATTCCTTTATACCTTAGTAGATAGGAGAAGGCAAATATCAGAATCCCAGGGCCTGAGTATGTGGATTTTTAATAAACTCTCCAGGTGATTTCAGATGTAAATCAATGTTCGAGAGGGGCCGATATCTAGGAAGGGACTCTACTAGAGATACTCTGAAGAAAAAAAGACTATGGAAAAAAAATTTTTTTGATCATGGAAAAGTTTTGATTAAGAAAGGAAGAAGAGACTGAGAGTTTTCAAGCCTGACTTTTTTCAAAGATGATGATTAAAAAAAATTGAAAGGAGTAAAGAACATTAACTTTCTTTTTGGTTTATGTTATAGTTCTTACTTGATCTCCACTTATTTCTTTTATGTATATGGGTAAGTGTTTACTTCAGTGCCTGTTATTAAGGTTTCGAAATGATTTGAAAGACAGTGGAATTTCTAAAACTTCTAGGAAGTAGCATATAGATTGGAAATCTGGGTCAGTCAACTGAGGTTAAAAAGGTTAAGATGACTGAATCGTCTATAAAAGGCTTTGAACATTGAATTTGATTTAACATTTGATTTAATACTGGAGTTTGGCTACTTTGTCTCTTACTATAGTAATATTGAGAACCAAGCCAAAGTTTGATTTTTTTTTCTTAGCATTGTATGTATAATCTTGTATTCTGGATTCTGAACTTGTTTTTACCAGAACTAAATTTCTGTTGTGTTAAAAAAAGGCTGAGAATTGAACATATTCCGTTTTGTAATTTTTGGTTTGCTACATCCAGTGGTACAAGATAAAATTAGTAAATGTGTTCTTCCTCTTTTATGCAGGACCAGTGGCTGTAGGACAATTCCACCGGTCATTCCGGCGAGATAGTTTGTCTCCTTACTCCTACGTATCAACTTCATCCCACAACCACAGTACTTTCCCTCTGAAAGGTTTAGATCGGACCCCGATTCCTCCTAGAACATGGCAGAACTCCCTTGGAATGCACCCAGGACAAGTGGAAACGTCTCCCACTTTTTCAGATAAAGGGGTTCCATTTCCTGTACTGCAGAGGTTTCCAACTGAGGTTACCTATACCCTGCAGCCAAGTGCCACGTCCGTACACGTTCAGCAAGGTCCTCAAACAATGGTCAGCTCCTCCCAAAAATACAGTAACTACACACCCTCAGCGCAGTACTCCCAAGCCTACTATCCAACAGGTATGAGAAATTCAAGTTCAGTGACTTCTCTTATTTTATAATGAGCATTTATAACTTTAAATGCATTTCTGCATGCTTAAAAATAGTAGGAATATGTACATAAGAAATCTCAAAGATTTCTCATCAGAACATATTTTTAAGCAATATATAAAATTTCATTATGTTCTTAAAGATTGTGAGAATTTTGTTGGTACATAAATATGTATGTTTTTAGTGAAAATTTTATATCTTCAAAATGTGTCCTAGTAATGAAATTAGGACATAACTACACTGGGGCCTTGTTCTAACTCTGCTGATGTTGCAGTATTTCGTTTCTTTTCTTTAAAAAAAATGTATATACATGTTACAGTTGACCCTTGAATAATGCAGGATTGGGATGCTGACTCCCATGCAGTTGAAAATGTGTGTATAACTTTTGACTTCTCCAAAACTTAACTACTAATAACCTATTTTGACTGGCACCCTTACCTAAGATAACATAAACGGTTGGTTAGCACATATTTTATATGTTATATGTATTATGTACTATATTTTTACAACAAAGTAAGATAAAAGAAAATGTTAAGAATATCATTAAAGAAAATACATTTACAGTACTTTATCAAAAACATCCAAACATGGTTCAAACTCATGTTATTCCAGGGTCAACTATATATATTATATATTTTAATGTTATAGGTGAGATTACCTCATACTGAAATCATTTTAGTATCTCAGTAATGAAGTTTAAAAAAAAGCATACTTTCTATCTCTTAAAACTAAATTATATTCTTCTAGTGAAAATATGATGGTGTGGTTGACAGGGCAGTCCCTACAGTGTTAATCCCAGCCAACTAAGAACTGGAGTAGCAGAGAGGAGAACTTGACAGTGACAACTAACCCAGAGCTCAACCAAGGGCACTGAAGATACATTATATATCATGCCAGTAATTAGGAATCCTTATGATAGTGACCATGTGTTTAGCTTCTCGGGGTTGGTGGGGAGAGAGTTTTTTTTTGGGGGGGGTACACTTTTGCAAGATAACCTTAACTTTCCATTCAAATGTATTTTCTGTTTTGCAGAAGCACCATAAAATTGTGGTGTGTTTCATCATTAGAGTGTTAACACTGAGTGATGAAATGGAACAATAGAAATAAGACAGAGTCAAGGCTTTAAAAAAAAAGACCAGAGAGAAGGCCCAATGATTTAAGGTTCTAGGAATATTAATTTTTTCAAGTATGTAGATCTGGAAGCAATCTCTAGAGGTATTTTGTTAGACCATTTCTGCCAGACAGGAGGAAATCAAAAGCTAGAATAAGTGAAAAGAATGTAAATTAGATAGAGGAATTAAATAATTTGTTGACTTTTAAAAGTTATAAATCTGGTAACTTCTGTTTATAACAGTCCTCACTATTTTCTAGCTGTAACATCCAACTGTATTCTTTTACTATCAGCTTATTGCGTTCTATCTAAATATAGCAGTAAAAGAGATTGCTTTGTTTTCCCAAAATATATAATAGTTCATATTAAAATAATAAAACAAGAATTTAAGTTAGATTGGGTTTTATATATTTTTAGAGCTGCTACTGTTTTGGTGGATGGAATTGAGAAGGAAAAGGCAATGGAAGTATATGGATTAAGGATGACTTAGCACTTTCATTCATTTTGCCTATTAGAAATTTTTTCTTAATGTTTATTTTTGAGAGAGTGAGCATGCACAAGTGGGGCAGGGGCAGAGAGAGAGGGACAGAGCATCTGAGGCGGGCTCTGTGCTGACAGCAGTGAGCCTACTGTGGGGCTCAGACTCCCCAACCATGAGATCATGACTTGAACTGAGAGATCGTGACCTGATCTGAAGTCAGATGCTCAACCAACTTATCCACCCTGGTGCCTCTTGCCTATTAGAAATTTAAAAACTGGTTGAAGCCTCGTATTTTTCCAGATTTTCTGCTGCTTCTTTGAAAAACAAAAACATCTACGTGATCTTGAAAAATAAATGACTGAATTCATGTTAGAAGTTTTATATCTTACGTATAGCAACAAATAGGATTGGACTTTTGTTAATGAATTGTTTATTCAACATTTTAATGAACAGATTAGGCATTACTGCCTAAATTCTAATTTCAGGGGCGCCTGGGTGGCTTAGTCGGTTAAGCGTCCGACTTTCGCTTAGGTCATGATCTCGCGGTTCGTGGGTTCGGGCCCCGCGTCAGGCTCTGTGCTGACTGCCAGCTCAGAGCCTGGAGCCTGTTTCAGTCTGTGACTCCCTCTCTCTCTGACCCTCCCCTGCTCACGCTGTCTCTCTCTCTCTCTTTCCTAGAAATAAATAAAAAACATTTAAAAATAAATAAATAAATAAATTCTAATTTCAGCTTTGTTCCATGTATGCATAGAATACGTATGCATATATAGAGACAGTCTGTGTCTTCCTTACACTTGCTTTACATTCTATAGCCCATCAACTGGATAATACCCTTATCTCCCTTCCTTTTAACCAGCAAGTGTTTTTCTTTCCTTTCCTAAACTCCCTCCAAACCCCCTTCCTCAAACTACTAAAGACTCAGAAGCTGCTAGGGAGTTTAAATTTGGAAGGACTGTAGCAAGAGAAATGTAGAAATGTACTTGGCTTTCCAATTTAAAATTTTGGAGGTATTTTCCTATGGACATATTAGATATGGTGGTTAGGTTCTATATTATTATTAGACCTACACTTATGGTATGGGTAGTTATAATCTGGTCTAGGAGCCAAATTAGCCTATATGATGTTGTCCTATGGGAAAATGTATTTCAACTTCCAGCCAATCCTCTCAGAAACACCTAGTTCTAAATTTTATGAGAACCACTTATGTATCATTTACCAGAAAACACTGCAAATAGTTAATATTGTTCATTCATTACAGAAATACTATCTGTTAAATCATTATGATTTAGGATATGGTATTTAAAAATATTTTATGTTAGCTTGAATGTAAAATTATAAATTGAAAGTTGTCAAACAAATAGGTGAATAGATAAATTAATTACTTGAAAATTATCTCCAAGAGTTCAAGATAAGAACTAGGAAACAGACATTAAAAGAACAAGTGAGTGCTGCTGCTGTTTTGATAGTGTATAGTGCATGTGAAATGCAAATCGTGTGTTATCTGAATTTGTGTTTTGTCTTCTTTAATAGGGAAAGTTGAAATGACTATAAAGTGTCTGAGATTATGAAAATAAGAAGTTTCATGATCTCATGATGATATGTAATACATAGACTAGGTCTATGATATAATGTAATAAGCAAAACTGCTTTGAACATTCTAAAGTACTATGTAAATAAGTTGTATTGTTGTGGTGCCTGGGTGGCTCAGTTGGTTGAGTGTCAGCTTTAGGTTTCAGGTCAGGTCATGATCTCATGGTTCACGAGATTGAGCCCTGTATCAGGCTCTGTACTGGCAGTGGGGGGCCTGCGTGGGATTCTCTGCCTCTTTCTCTGCCCCCCCAAAATAAATAAACTTTAAAAAAAGTTGTATTCTTTAGTAAAAAAAAAAAAAAGACCTATTATGGAAAGAAAATGCCATAAAAATATTGTAGAAGTATTTGATTCTTCCAAATTTTAGGTGAAGGAAGACAAAAAGTAGTGAGCAACTTAACCAGGGCTAGTGAGTACCTGTTTATGAAGAGCATTACAAATGACTTTCCCAAAGTTAAATAGAATATCATTCTCAGAGGCAGGATAATGATCATTTTCAAACCTAGCTCTTGAAATAATAATGAAGTAGCTAACTTTGGAATAATGGTCAGACTTGAATCCTTTTGAAGTGAACTATATGATTTGACGTTTGGATCAAATTTTAGTAAACAGCAATACCTGACTTCGTTTAAAAATTATATTGATAGGGGTGCCTGGGTGGCTAAGTCAGTTAAGCTTCTGACTTCAGCTCAGGTCATGATCTCACGGTTTGTGAGTTTGAGTCCCACATTGGATTCTGTGCTGACAGCTCAGAGTCTGGAGCCTGCTTCAGATTCTGTGTCTCCCTCTGTCTCTGCCCTCCCCCGCTCGTACTCGGTCTGTGTCTCTGTCTCTCAAAAAAATAAACATTTAAAAAAAGTTTTTAATTACATTGATAATAAACTTGAATCTGATCTTCAAACAGTATAATCAGTTAAGATTGAATTTTGTTGTATTTTATAAATTAATTTCTTTAGTAAAGCCAAACATTGAGACTAGGATATTGCTGTCAGACTGACTCAAAATGACCCATCTGAATCATTTCTTACATTTGTCATTCCTCTCTTGAAGCACTTATTTTCTTTGCCTAGTTGATGACATTTTTTCCACGCTTCAAAGGCAAAATGTTGTAGATCCAGTATTGATTGATTCTTTTTAGTCTTTCCCTATCTTGGATTCCTTTTTTTCTTCTGATACTATTTTCATAGCATACTACTATAATTTAATTTACCTTTTTAAAAAGTTTTTGTTTATTTATTTTGAAAGAGAAAGAGAAAAAAGTGAGTGGGGGAGGGGCAGAGAGACAGGAGGGAGCGAGAATCCCAAGCAGGTTCTCTACTGCACTGTCAGCCTGGAGCCCATCATGGGGCTCCAGCTCACGAACTGCAAGATCGTGATCTTAGCAAAAATCAGATGCTTAACGTATTGAGTCACCTAGGTGCCCCAGTTTCTCTTTTTTATTCAAAACTTTTAGACCTTTTTATTTTTTATATTTTTAATTTTTTTAAGCAAGCTCTACACCCAGCGTGGGGCTTGAACTCATGACCCTGAGATCAAGAGTCGCATGCTTCACCTACTGAGTCAGCCAAATGCCCCCAAAACATTCATATTTATATCTAGAGAGTCCTATATTGAGGACTGTTTTCCTTTGACTAATGTTATAATGCTGAATTGACCCAAAGTCAATCTTGCATTTTTCTCAAAGTTAAAATTTAAGTTTAAAGCTGTGATTAGCAATTTGTAGCTGCCTTTCATCTCTTTTTTTTTTTTCTTTATTTATTTTTGAGGGAGAGAGAGAGCACACACATG